TTAACATTATTCTTATTATTCATTAGAGCTTGTGACCTTATATTGTTACCTTTATTTCACTGTTGTAACCTCTTATGATGAATTTTATATGCAGGAGTGATAATTGTGGACGCTAATATCTTCCTAGTTCGCATAAATTGCCTTTCTGCCATTAAAAAGAGCCTAGTTGTTGGCATTATATAGTATAGTAACAATGCTTAGGATTACATTCAGAAAATACGAGGTTTTGCTCAAATTAAGGAGACAATTTCAAGACAGTCTGGATCCAGTCGAAGCTTATCTTTTCTATGAGGTTATATCTGAATATTTTATAGCCTGGCACATTGTCCCAAGGAAATAACCCACATTATGTGCCATAATGTCTGTCTGTATTAGGATTTCGCCTCATAATCTCTTCACTGCCGTGCAACCGCGGTATTGGCGTAAGTAACGGTCATTGACGGAGGCAGTTCTACTCATAGTTTATATTCACGTTGTATGATCAAGTAGTCTGTTAAACATCGATTTTGCATTTCAGGCAATGTTTATGTCGTTGTGTCGTACTGCCAGTGCTGCGCTTTGGGCGACAGAGCAGCTGCACTTTTTTAAGGCTTTTTCGGTCACATGCTGCCGAAGGTAGGGATATGTCATGTCCTTCCACATCCACATCGTTCACGTCATTTTTTGCCAGTGTCCTACGCGGTCTCTGTACTGACAAACAACCTCCGGCTGTGGAGATCCCGCGAACATACAAAAAAATGAGGGGAACTGGAGACAAAGGTACTGTGTCAGTGTGCACGCATGTATTATCATGGGTCTCGATTTTTACATGCAGGTACAAGCGGCCTATTCACAAATGAGCGACGCTGGAAGGACGACGCTGTGTTCGAAGCACTGGGAACCACCGACGAACTTAACTCTTCGGTCGGGTACGCTGTGCTTCGCTACTTTTGTCTTTATGCATGCACTTATTGAGAAACGTTGCTATGTTTTTGTTTATTTTGTTACTGAAAGGAGCAGA